ACTAGCTATAACTACACTTCAGTATATCGTGACTATATACAAGCTTATAAAGATAAGCATGGAAAAAATAGTCACGTTATGGCTAAATTGACTTTTATGAATATCTGAAAGGTTTTAATGCCATTACTTCAATTTATGTTCTCGAAATCTGATTTATGTGAAACTTGTAAAATAATAAAATCAGATCTTCAACATACTGCGCAATATGAAAAAAAATTAGAGCTTACAAAAAAATATCTAGCCTATTTAAATCATGTACAAAAAGAATATGATTATTATAACGCCAATATCGTAAAGGTAATTGAAAATGGTAAATGAAATATAAATATAACTAAGTCCTCAGAATCCCCAGTATTATTTAAAACGTTTGATGGTTGTGCACATATTGCATATAACTAGGCTCAAAACATACAAATTCCTTACTTACCACAGCAAATTGGAGCTTTATTTTTTAAAAGTTCTCAAAAAGTGCATTTGTTTGGTGTTTGTAATACTGGTAATTATCCTAACACACAACAAATTAATTATGTAATAGATGAGGCTGAAATGCCTAATGACAGTAAACAGAAAAAAGGTGTGAACTGCACTCTAAGTTTGACGTAGCATGCAATTCAAAAATATAATTGTGAAGGAAAAAAATTAATTATTATATATGATAACTGTATGGATTAAAATAAGAATAACTATTCATTATTCTTTTATTCATGGTTGATTGATTGTGGTATGTATAATGAAATTAAGCTAAATTTTATGATACCCAGATATACAAAGTTCATATGTGACAGTTGTTTTGGTCTAATCAAAATTCTATATCGGAAAAGTAAAGTAAATACAGTAGATGATGTATCTTCAATTGTTAATCGTTCTACTACAAATAGTTTTAATATTACTTAATGTTATTTAGATGGAGATGGCTTTCAGTATTATAACTTTAAAAAATATTTTGATACGTTTAAGAAATTACCTAATATTCATAAATATCAACACTTTAATTTTACCTCATAAAATCCTGAGATAGTCTTCTATAAGGACAAAATTGAAGATGAGTACAAAAACTTTACTATTCGTTCTTTTCCATTCGATGCTAATACATTACCTCCTATAATTAAAACTCGGTCACTTTCATTAAAAAGACAGAAGGAACTTTATAAGAAAATCGCTCTCTATGTTGATCTACCCTTTCGTGATATTACTTGCCCTAAACCTAACGCTAATGAATCAGAAGAAAATTAATTTAAAAAATTATAAATCAACTTTATCCTTTATTAATATTGAACTATAAAGTCAATTTATTATAGGCTAAAATATTATGATGAACATTTTATGTAATACTGTATATTTTTTGCATATTAAAAAAAGTTACATAGTAAATTCAATTGCGGCAAAAAAATTTTTTTTTTAAAAAGAAGCCATCATTTAAGCAATAAAATTACTACGTACAAAAAAAAAATTTAATATACATTTTGTCTTTACTCATTAATAAAGTATATTCCTGTATTATTTTACATCTACAGTAACGTTTTCATTAAATTTGAGATATCTTTTATTAGTAGGCTTTAATGTCAAATCCACGATAATTTATGAATTTTAATGATAAAAATTGATGATCATCACATGATTTTTAAATTAGATTTTCTCATGATCATATGATCGTCCCGAAGCCATTTTTTGCTATGACGCCTCCTATATGCTGAATGAAGAATTTCACGCAAGTATGGTAATAGTTTTGGTTTTTGATATAATGACAATATAACATAAGAAAGCCAGATTTTCATCCTAGAAAAAGTCATGATCAACAACATAGAGGTAAAAAAGACAGTAATTTTCGTTATTTGACTTGTATCAAGTAATTTTAAAGATAGTCTATATTGTTTTCTTTTATTGTTAATAATTGATAGTGTTCTTTGTTGTATTTTCATAACTAGGGCTTGAAAGAAATCGCAGACAGCATTTGGCAATGCGTTAATATATTTTTCATATGAATTTAGATTTTCTAACTGGTTAGCTTTTTGTTTAATCTTTGAATGTAAGGTTAAAATCTCATTTCCTATTTTATTTCTTGCAACAGTCGTATCTTCTAAGCTAATCTTAACAGATGTTAATTTGTTCAGATCAATATTTTTCATTTTTAGTGCAGTTTTAATGAGAAAACTGCTAGGAAGCTCAGTTTATATGTCTAGTAAGTTTTTACTATCATCGTTTAAAACTTTAAGAGTTGGAGTTATTAATGAAAGAAGATTTTCTTTTAACTCCTGATCATGCAATTCTCCAACTGAGATTATCCATTTTCCAATATCTATTAAAGCATTTTTTATATCATCTTTATGTTTTTCAAGTTCAGTACAGGAAATGAATTTACAGCCTTTACCCAGCTTTTCGTAAAAGTGATCACCTTGTTGATGGAAGCATTCTGAACAAATATAACGTGCACGATAACCTGAAATTAATTTTTTCAAAATAGACTCTTCAGTGATAGCAGAACACTCAAAAACACAACATACAGGATTTGGATATTACGTTTATTAATACACTATGAATGTTCATTACAACCACTACCTCAACTAAAGAAACTTTTTTTTTATTACAAAAAATGCAAAAACAGAAGTGAGTGATGCTCTAATCAATCGAATGTAATTGCTTCGCACCTTCGGTGTGAAGCTTATTCTGATCAAATAAAAAAGTGAGGATAATATATGCCAAGCTGACAAAATTCTCTATTGGCAACCTCTTTAATCACATTCGCATTTATTTCTCAGGTTCCTACCATCTGCTCTAAGTGCCGCAATTTTTCTATACTGTTGCAATGTCTTATTACTCCTTTGGAACTATCGATAATCATACACAATGTTAATTTAGAAATTGGCTTCTCTATTATTTCAATTATTTCATCTGTCTCATTCTGTATGAAAATAAAATTACTAATTATAAAAATTTTTTTTTTTAATAGGGCTTTAGATCTATTTAAAGATCATCCAGATAACTAATTTGATTGAATAAATAGCAATTCTAGATACAAACTTAAACTTGCTCTTTATTTAATCTGAGTATATTATAAGATGAAAATTTTCATTTAAAATTAAAATCAGCAAGTTTAACAAACCCATTAATACTATTTCAAGGTCAGACTCATTCAAATCAACAGAATTTTAGAACAATATAGTTAGAAGCCTTTTATAGTTGGACATCAAAAGAAAGTAGTCTATGAATAGTTAAAAAACAATAGAATAGATATTATTTATTAATGAAAATAAGAAAATGTACTTAATAAAGTGATTATTTTTTAATAAAATTTATTTTAAATATTTTATTTATCTTTAATTGTATTGATAATATATTAATAATAAATAAAAGAAATATAAAGGGAAAAGTGATAAATTAAACATAAATATAAATAAATATAATTGCATTAAATAGTCTGGATTAATTAATTTTTTTATTATTTGAAAAACCTGAGAATGAAGAGTAAAGATAACATTAAATGAAAATTCTAATTCTGCTTTTCTAATCTAGTAAAAAATCGAGCAAGTGAACTATGAGAGTATCATAAAAACCATTTGTCCCTAATTCACTATTCATTCACTAAATTCTAGTAGTGCTTGAAAATCTGATAGACAAGTTAGAATTAAGTGCTGCTAAAGAAAAACATGCAAGATTTAAGTTATTACCATTGAAACATATATACATTCGGTGTTTTAATTATTTGGAAACCATTAATATGAACTTAATAATAATAAATGACAAAAACAAGTACTTAATTATGTAATAACATAATCCTGAGTTCTATATAGTGATAAATATTTACTTGCAGGTTTTTCTTAGTAATATCAATTTATTGAATAGGTCATCCGATAGATTCTTTTGAATCAAACTGGTTTAATAAATTCTAAGTGGTGTGATAACCAACCTTAAGTTTTGAAAATGTTCTGTTAAATGCTTAAAGCAAATGTTACTGTACTGCACTGCCTTTAGTACTCCCTATTTAATACCCCCTTTATATAATATCTAGATACATTACAAAAAAAATTTTGAAAAAATTATATAAAATCCAGGTTTTAAGATTTAATAGATTTAATGGAAAATTATTGATCATAATTTAATCATGTTACAGTACCCTCCAGCTTATGTACCTACTCTTAGTTAAGTACTCAGAGATATATTGTCATATATAATACCCTTCTTTTTTGATAAGACCCAGGTACTAAAAGCAGTGTGATACAGTAGTAAAATTATTCTTAAGCAGCTTCTGACACCTAATTCAAAAAGTAAAAAATGCTTCCAAATACATGTTATCTGGATCTAAGCCTAATTCAATTATTTTATTTGTTTACTCTAATTATTTTAACCTTAAAGAGTAGACGAAAGTTTAGAACAATTTTGAAATGTTTATCTGCGAAGTTTGTTCTTATTCATAGCTCAAGTTCTCAGTTTTGATTTCACTCTATTCTATATTATTATCGTAATTCATAAAAGGTAAGGTACTAATAATAAAATTTTGGTTAAAAGAAATATTTTCAACTTCAACATCGTCATCCTCATCTGAAAAACCAGTATTAAAAGTGTTGCTTTCTTCAAAATCTAATTCAAAGTCACTCATTTCGTCTGAAATTATAAAATACAAGGATTAATATGCTTCAACTTTGACAGAAAATCTTCCTCGAACTAAAAAAAAGTTGAGTACGAAATTTTTATAGTTCAATAAAAAAATAATTCAAGTATATTTTTATCTTAAGACATAATGCATCTATAGTTTCACGAATACAGAGTTAGCATATAAAAAACTTTTATAAGAGCAAAAATTTTCATATAAAAATTAATTGATCGATATACTAATGTTCATATAAACAATATTTTGAACCCCTGTATAAAGACATGTCTTGTGCCTGCTATTAATTGAACAATTTCTTTACAATATTCATTTATTTTTTTTTTTAGTTCTGTTATTTCTTCATTTTAATTTTCTATTTGCAATAGTAGTTTTGTAATTACACTAATAAAATATGTTATATCTTCATTAATTTTTTTTGATTTTTAATTTGATCTCTATCGAATAAGTTTTCAGCTCTTTTAGGCTTTAACAAAAATTGCGATTCATCTATGCTAGTTATTTCTTTAAAAGATCTAAAATTAGAAATAGAATCATTATCAGAATTAGTAATAGCTTTTAATTTCTTATTTTTGTTAATAGAAGATGTATTATTATTATTTTTTTTTTAATACCTTCGCAATATCGTGAGAAGGTGGATTTTATTAGGTATTTAGATAATACATTCTTGATTATCCTATCCTGTACTATCCACTACAATCACGCCACCTCATAACCTCGTGCTGCTTTATAACCTATAGCAGAAGTGTTCTTCGGCTATTTTGTTCTTACCGGTTTTTCCTAACGTTTTAACTATACTATAGGTCTAAACTGAAGACCACCCAGATCAACATCTG